ATTGAATGGTGGCGCATACGTAGGTGACTACTTGGCAAATTGCTTGACTGGTGTCATAGATATTTGCTTATGATTTGTTCGCGAACACAGCCTCTACAATAATAATAATACGGCTAGTCATTTATGCTGTCGACGGAGCTGCTGTTTATCTTTCGCATGGATGAAAGATATATATTCTACATATTTTTATATTTTTAGAATATGGTACACAAAAATAGTACGAGTGTTTCTAGGGATATGTTCTTGTTTGGTGCAGAAAAGTTTGCAGAAAAATGGCAAACGCTCGAAAATGGGTGATTTGTGAGTACCGGGGCATAACTGGGTAGAGAGGCCACGGTCGATCAACCATGGTATGCTATGATCAGGAGACAAGTGGGTAGGACAAGATGTACGTACCATACTGGGTGACGCTGTTGTAAGTATATGTGGTTTTTAGCTTACTTTGAGTAGACACCATAGGCAAGGTCTGACACACATGACAGGGAAAAGATATCGTGCAGCTACTAATTCTGCTTTGGACACAAGTGTTCATCAACAAGTATCTTTTACTCCGAGAGGATTTTACGCACACAGAGGTTTTTACATGGTGCTGACGTCAATACAAGAGCACAAATTCATTTTAGGTGTCAGAAAGGTGACACGGAAGATAAAATATACAGGAGCCACGGCTAGTGTTCCTATGCTGAGAAGACACTATGGGCTTGTGTGTATTACTATGCATAGCTTGGTGCTGGGGACATTAATCAGCTACAATCGAAACCTTTACTGTGCGCTGACGAGTACAACGCAAACAATTATGAGGCAGTGTGAAGGTGACCAGGACGTTTGTATAAAGTGATACATCTGAAGTTGGACGACAACGTGATGTGGCTTGACGATGGGTCGACAAGTGACTGCCGAACGGTGGCGTTACGGTGAGTGGATCTGCTATGGCTTGATGAAGAATTGCTCTTTGCCCAAGGGACTGTGGTGCTACCGAGTCTTTGCTAATTGGATTTGATGCTGCCGCGGGAGAACCTGCTGTGGCCGGAAGAAGTATTCATACTGGGATACTGCGCTGGGGAAGTACCGCTAGAGAATTTGTTGAGACCGGAAGCGGAATACAATGGCGAGATGGTGTTGCGCATCGCCGAGGATAGGCGGGGCGACAACCAACACGGAAATGAATGCTATTGTTGGGGATACAAGTGAATTACCAGTTGATTACGTCTTCAGAAATACTCAGGATACAGTCGCTTGCAAGGCCAGGTAATTTAAGGTTAGAGCTGCCTTGGTCAGTGGTGTGGATGACCAAGGCGGCGACTTTACGCAAGCGCGTGTTTATGTTCACATACAAGGGTATTGTGTATTGGTGTATGTAATTATAACCGACAGCACAGAAGGTTGCGGGTGTGAATTACAGGTATGAGCGTGTCAAGAACATGTGTTTAGATAGACTATATTTTATTGAGTATATAAGATATATACTTATACACACACTCTCGGTCAATTCTCAATCAAACAGAGCAACACCTACAATTATTATTATATTATTAAATAGAATACATTTATTTTGATTAAGTTATTATAGCAGAGACACGACATACATAAAACATGCACACTAGCTGACAAACCGCTGGTAGACATATACATAACATCAATCATACAAAGGCATAGTTTATCGTAGCAGAACACTACGCGGTAACACAACATACATAAAACATACACACTAGCTGACACACTACTGGTAGACATATACAGAACATTAATCATACAGAGGCATGGCTTATCGTAGAAAAACACTACGTGGTAATGCAAATAGTATTAACATACACACAAGTATACGGCACTGTGCGTCACACATAATACAAACGAATTGAAATCGATCAAACATTACATGACCGGCGCTATTGCCCAGCGTGGAAGGTTCAGAGAAACCCGTCCGTGAGTGGTGATCCCAGTATAGAAGGTTCAGGGAACTCTACCCAGGATAGTTACACGAGTACTGGTTGTGTGTGGCAAGTATATCTATATGCTTAGAGTACAGGCGAGCACCCTGTTGACTCTAACTCAGTGGTGAGCAACCCTGAGGACACGGCACATTGAACTTTGCGTAGGCACTTTGAAGTCAGTGAGCCACCGCAGCCTCACTAGCGGGTTGCATAGCACTATCATAATCGACAGAATAGAACCTATGTGTATTTAGATACTGAGAGTACAGGCGAGCACCCTGTTGACTCTTACTCAGGGGTGAACAACCCTGAGGACACGCCGCATTGAAATTTGCGCGAAAACTTGAGGGTCGGTAGGAATCCGCAGCCTCAAGCGTGTTGCATAGTCGCTGTGAGTGGTGTTGAGTTGGATAACATTATTACGTACCAAACGAGTCCATGGGTAGCATTATTACATGTCGACAACGAGAACGATATATGATGAGAAAGTACTGGTGTAGTATCGTGTTTTGTATACAGAAATGTCGAGTCTGGCTCCAACATATTTCAAAGTAAAACTTTTCCGACATTTGTTCAAAATACAACAGCAAGAAAACTAGTGTAGAGTATCGGATTCCAGATTGAGATTCGCTTCTAACAGTCTTTCGTATGTCGACTTGCCTACCACAAGCGTGTACCGTTGTCAAATCAAAAGTGCTTCTTCGACATATTCATACATAAATATATCTTACAGCTTGTACTTTTCGGAATGCAAGACCAAAACAGTATTTCCCATCCTTGTGCAATGCACACTATATCTCAAGTTTAATTATTTTGTCGCAGGCTCTGCGAGGTCTAGTTCCTTGCATTCGCTTCTCTCGAGGAATTGTAGGTGATGTTCGGCTAATTGTTGTCGACTAAATTCGTCCCTTGCTGTCTCGGGTTGCGTGACAACTACGGGTAGCTCAAATGGTAGAATTGTAGTGTGGCGCGTTGCGTTCCAACTACGGGTAGCACAAATGATGGAATTGGTATTGTTGCGGAAAGTCGAGGTGTCTCAATTAATCCTGCTAACTACTGATATAATGAATTACTGTAGGTTAATTGGCAAGTTCTGTAGCTGTCCTAACTAACACGTACGTCTACTGTGTTTAAAGCCTTGTATGTCTAGTACGCAGCGCCTTATTAACCAATGAGAACGCCTAATTTTCAACTAGTAGTGTGAGTAAGGTAGTTTTATATCGAATAGGATCGGTAATAGTCCTTTGCCGGCCGATACGGACCGCTTCCACCTATTTTTTTTTGCCAGTTTCAGGGCCGTTCGGATATTCAAGATTATAAGGTGTAAATTTTGACTTAAGTTTGTATAGCTGTCAATGGAATATTTAGTTTCGGTGGATGTTCTGCACCCTGGTCGGGTGAGTGAGAAACTTTTCAATTCCTGGGCGAGATTTGAATTTGGGGTCTACCAATACTCAGTCGAATATACAATATCTAATGCAATATCACTTTGTCATCGTTGATCATCCCTTAAAGTATCATACATCGCCACGAAATGTTGAGCGCCAGCCGCACTTGCTCGGCCGCGAGATACAAGCCTGTTTCTTTATTGTTAGGATCGTAAGTTGTATTCTGTAATCGAATTTCAAAACTTTGTACCAAAATTGGACACGATGTGTGGTGTTTGAAGCTCGTAGTAAAACGAGAATGGTGTGAGAAAAGATATACCATTTCTAAGTTTGTGCTGACGATCTGTGTAGTCATTTCGCACCTGAAGTGATCAGTTAAGTACAATTCTAATTGAGCACAATTTGTGCGTTTTCGTCCGCCTTATGCTTGCCAAGTTGATATGTTTGAATACACATCGTGTAATTTAGCGACATAATACAGCTCTAGCAAAGCTAGTGGGGAGGTGGTCAATTTTTTTTTTTGCAAATATGGTGGACAGGTTTAACATTTGCTTTTCCATGCATTCGGTGTATATGGGTAGAAATAAAGTAGACCGCACAACCCTTTAACTATGACTCTAGAATTACTAGCAGAACATCACGATATATGCCAATGAAAGTGTGTGAGGGAAATTCCTACCACGTTCCAGTTCGGTTTGTAGACAGGATGTAATGGTATACCTCATATAAACTCATGCCGCTTATCTCCGTTGCCAAATTGTAACGCGTTTCGAAGCACAATGTAGGTTCTATCTGGCTCAAACCATGATTTACCTACTGATTAGTTGCGTACCTCATCGAAAATCCCATGTCGGTCCACAGCCCCAACATCGCCGAATCTCTCAACTGGTATAGACGCTAATTTAGGCCCGATTGGTGACTGTCCGATAGGATAACCCTGGTTGTTAATAGCAAGATTTACTTTTAACAATCAGCAAAGCATCATTGAGCTCTACGAGCTCTACTTTTATTGGTTCGTGATCAGAAAAAGGCGTTTTTACCGAAGATTCAAAAGATATGCATAATTCAGAAGATGCCCGTGGTTGTATCGGCCTCTTCCACGTGCTGAGTGTTGTATAGGCCGCACACTCGAGATTGTACACCCCTTAAACGTTTGCAAAGATAGTACGCACGCCATACCGGTGAAAATTTCCGCTGTGCGTTCGCTGTCATAAAATTTTACACCTGCAACATATGAGTGTGGACTGTGGAGCGCACGACCCTGACTGTGGTAGAATATACTACTTGCAACCAAACAAGGCGGCTGATTTTATATGAAGAAACTGGATCTACGGCTATACAAAGGTCGATAAATTTTTAAGTGAATGTTTTCCCAGGCAAATATCATGACAATAAACAGTTAACAAAATCGACGATTGAACTAGGCCTACCCAACGGATTGTATTTTTACACATAGTGCTTTGGATTTTCTTTAAATGTTTCCCATTGTCAGTTGGGGTTTCAAAATTGGTACTATAAAATTTATTTTAAAGATAAGTATCGGTATGTCAATCTGAGCGTCAGTTTCATAAACAGTGCCGTTATGAGAAATGAGTCGCTCCTTTTTTGGTTACAGGCACGGCTTCACCTTATTTCGACCGATGACTCGATTGACAGAAATTCGTTTACCTGTATCTTGGTGTCGCTACTAGCAATACGGCAACAATAACGTTGCGCATACCATGGAATATAAACATCCACTATAGTTTTTATCAGTGCGTGTGCATACTACTATTTAGTCCGCAATAACGTTCATCGCGTAGATCAAGCCGAGTTCTATTTAATTCCTTCTCATCCAAAGCTGAAAATAGGAAAATAGGCGTATGCCCACCTAATATATACATTCAGATTCGTTCCTGTTCTCTCGTCTGAGAGGCACGGCTTATTCTGTTAGAACGTTCAATCATACGGACAGCCTACTCTCATTCCTCGCAGTGTTCATGTGTAGTCCTCAATATCGTCAGAGTAGCTTACAGTTTGAAGCATTCTTGTAGGTTGTAGTGTTGCAGGAATTGCTGCGATAGTTTAAAAACAGGTCAAGGTGCACGTCGTATTAGTCAATGTTCTTATACCCTTTGCCGTCTAATAACGCATACAATATCGGGCGTATCAGACCTCTAATTCATAACCTTTCGGCATGACATGAAAACAGTCGCCAAAGTACTGCATAAGAAAATCAGTTCAGGCACCTTTCAAAATGGAGAAGACGAGAAGGTAGGACGTAGAATGTACGAGATGGATTCATTAAAAAAAAAACATCAAAGAGCAATGGTACATACCTGAATGGCTTGCCTCTCCGCCGCAGTACAATTTGCCATCGTAACATCGATATGTCTAGCCAGCATCCTTCGAGACTTTTCTGTGTATGTCCTGTGTATTTTTAATTAAAAGAACATCATGTACTAGTATTTGCCACGTCTTTTCTAATCGACTACTTGCATTTGAGTTCCGCACTTTCAAGAGAATAAAAACCAAACTGAGCGCGCTTGGGGGGCACGAGACGATCAAAATACTGTCGGATACACATGGATTAGTTAAACAGGGATGAGTCGTTTGATACACACCCTTCCTACTCAAGGGTGGGAAGTGAATCAGGACAGTTAAAGACGCGGCAATACGTATGCAATACCTCCCTCAACGCATTCAAATAATGTAGACATAGAAACGCTTTGCGCAAATACCAAGTTTTGTCTGCTTGCGCAATATTATGAAAATTTATGCCCCTCGCATCTTTTCACCAATCTGTGATAATGAGAACACTTACTGTTGTATATATACACGTACCACACGTAGCATACTTACGGAAAGAACGCACCAGAGCCACTGGCGACAGACGCACACCCTTACTTTGTTTTGAATGATATCTCCTCCCTTTTCACAACAGACATGAAGCTCTTAGCCCGGTCGTTCACCGCTTTCCTATTATTTAACGCAAACCTCCTATAGGCCCCCCCCATCTGTATTAAACAATAATTCGCAAATGTTGTGGTTTTTGGGAAGGCTACCAACTTCCCTAGTCCTCCATCATCTGTCCAGAAGCTCGGGTCATCGCCTAATTGCCCGTAGTTCCTCACCTGTGTAGAGAAACGTGAAACCGGAAGCACGGGGTTAAATTCAGACCAGACTCACGACTTGTTCGAATACATAAACAGACCTTGGTTTTGGCCAGTTACTTTATCATCCCATCAGCCAGATCTCATACAAGCCACAACGTTACTTCAATTGACGGGCAACCTACCGACCAACAAAAACTACAACACAATAATAACAGTCCCATCATTCAGCGAGGACACCAAATCAACCGTTGTCTACACCTCTCAAGAGATCAAGTTCCGATTTCGACTCATAGTGAACAATCATAAACTGGGAATTGTGCTCCGCAACCTACCAATCGTAGAATGGTTTGGTGCCCGAGGAATATAAGCTACTGGCATAATACAAGGCTCAGGGGCATATATCATCACAGGCGCTGACAGCTACGCCTATTCTATGTACGAACTACAGGATACATCCATACAATTCATGTCACAGTTCCAGAGTCCTAGGTTCTAAAAAATGCCACCCATACGGCCTACAGCTATCACCTGCAATCCAAACAAATAAACATGCAATGACTAACCTCATTTAAATCCGCGACAAGAGACTTGCCATAGGGGTCGTCAAGTATACAGGATCTGAGCCAGCCTATCAGACTGGCATCTACAGCACACGGTTTGTTCCCCAGTGCGAACTTGGTGGTTTGTAGTTGATCGTTCAGATGTACCAGAAGTTCTCGAGCTTTGACCTAGGGAGTGGATGATACTGTTAGGAAGGTCACAGACTTCACGCGTATAAATGATTGCATGTTTCAACTGACACACCCCAACCACACACACACACACACACACACGCGCGCGCATAGACACAGACACAGACACAAACACACAGACACACACACACACACGCGCATAGACACAGACACAAATACACACACACACATATATATATATGGCATAAATTGAGTGAAAACTGCATATGTTGCAACAGACTATCATATCTCGAAGCTGATATACAGCGAGCATGGGTCTGTCTATGTTTGTGATCGTGAGCTAGCGCACAATCACGCTTCGAATATACCACAGCACCTGACTCATTATGAGACTTCGCTATAGATTGAGCAACATCTCGATAACACGATACTTCTCACGATACGAGCACACATCTCACGCTACGCCCAATCTCCCAATTTTAGCCACTCAATGAAACCTTCTCATGACACAAACACAGCTGACGCCTACAATCCTAATTTTAACCCTTCAATGAAACTTTTGTGGTACTGAGATTGATATACTTTGTGGCGCGTGCCTCACCTGAGTAGTGATTAATGAGTGTGCTCAATCGGGGTTTAGTGCATACACATTTGTATGCCTGCTTTGACGAGGATAGTGTAGGGTATCGCATGCGCATATGCCGGTAAAATCAGGCAAATGCACATGTAATCACACTCTCATACAATCGCGCGTACACTCGCACCAAAAGCACAATACAGACACAGCCATTGAAGAAGCATACACGAACAACCACATTCATATGCCTACACAAACATACCAGTATACACAGATATGCAAGTACACACACGCACAATCAAACTTAAACGCATTGATGCATTGGCGTACAAGCGAACATCCACGCAAGAACTAAGGCTCTCACACAAGAGAACATGCATATGCACACGCACAGAACATGCACGCGCGCACAATAACGCGTATATATGCGCACGTGCACATACCAATCCCACACATTCACTGAGAAATGAGAACTCGTTTCAGGAATGAGCGAATGAAATTGCTATGGTGCCGACTCACCTCACACAGCCGCTCCTGCGACTCCGTTGACACGCCAAAGGCCCTGTTGACCTTCATCCCAAAGTTAAGGAGATAGTTCATAATATACGACTTGAATAACCTGTGCCCGGTGGTACGAATGGGGCATAAGTTATATTGGAGATTTGGAACTAATCTAAAACTAAAACACAAACCCATACACGGATTTGCCGATTTACATAAAATCAGACATGGGCGTTTTGCGAAATTCCATTCTTCTCAAAAAGTGTGTCACAAGCAGTGCCCCCAGTCTCTTTCTCTAGGCAAGTGGCAGCAGTTTCCAAGTACAACAACTTGTCGGTCGGTATTAATGTGAAAGAAAAACACGCACTCATAGAGCACAGCTGCGTTTCTACTGCGGTAATTTGAGGAAAGTTTAAAAAAAATTGCAGGAGGATGCATAGTTATATGCAGCCCTAGCATCCTTATGGCAATTGCTAAGGTTACTAACCTATTGTGTCTGCCCTATTTTGTTGGAATTGGATGTATTCACGTCGCGTGCAATACTCTGAGACAACGCGCTAGGGAGCTTACCATCGACCGCACATATACGGAATGTCGATACAAACATTCGGTACTTAATCGCACAAATACATCTACATGGCTATCCACGGACACATATGTTCCCAGCGATAGCGACAACAAGACACCAACGGCACTGGCGAACCATTGCAAACACCGTATGCTCGTGTGCTTCAAATACTTCCGGTCGCACACGCAGGCGATGGCCATGCGGTATATACGCCGAGACCACAGTTGTGCACCGATACACACAATCACTTGTCATACCAGTACGGCCACCAATCGCTGACGAGTTCATGGACGAGCATTTGCACACTATACATGGCACTAACATCGTTGGCCCATCGCAGACAACCGATATTCCGCACATTCCACTCGTCTAAGAATTCCTGGGTGTTAAGTGTGAAGTGAATAGATTAGACGTGCGAATGGCACTCACTAGGTGAGGTAGGGTGGATCGATGATACGCATAGGCCAATTGAATAGACCTGTTATATCCTCCTCCATTTGCGACGAGACAATGATAGTCGTGTTTATCACGTATATAATTTAATGCTTGGGTTCAAACTCAAGACAGTCGAGTATACGTATTTTCACATCTCGTCACGACGTGCACTGGCATACAAATAGCTACTACACTGTTGACACAAGCACTCCTTTCAACACGAGCCCTAGTGCGGGGCAACCAGCACATCGCAGACACACGAGCATTATGTGATCGATATTCACAAGCACACTGAGGTACAGCACCGACACACAACTGTTTATCGCATCCTTGTACATACACACGCCCATCAAAACAAACAGGTGAGCATTATTTCATCGATATTCGCAACAACATCGCATGTATTCATATCATTGTACACACACGCTCATCAAAAAATACACACGAGCACTACAAACACGCTAACGCACGCCCATGTACACACACCCATTACACGCAGGCGTGTTCACAGATAAATTATGCTCCATATACTCACGCTCACTACAAATCCACACGCGCACATGCGTACCTCGATCAGATAAACTACAATTCCTGTAGGTCCAGTTGGGAACATCGGCGTGGCGGAGTAGCCATCCAGATATTTTAGCACCGGTGTGCTATCAGAGATAATCCAATTGTTCGGTGTCTTCAGTTGCGGGATCTGGCCCGGTGTGGACGTGTACAAGGCATGGGATATGTAGTAAAAAATGGGGGGTGTTACTAGGAGGGTGTCCTGTGGGTGCAAGCTGATAATATTTATACGACTTCTTGTGGCCCCCAGTGCGACACTGAGCCGACGGAGAAGTTGCACTCCAAGGTGAATCACCGGTACAGTGTACATCCCCATACGTAACTCGACGGTGACGATTCACAACAAGTTCGAGACGATAGGGTTTACCGAGATGTTTTACCAATACTTCCACGCGCAGAAGAAGTGGCAGTCAAACAGACACTCTTAGCTCACCATCAAGGGCATCACAACTTATAGTCAGGGCGCCGAACATAGATAACGGAATACAGATTTCGAGAAGAAGCATACATAAGCTAAGCACGGACATCTGTTGAATATTTCGGGATAGATAGTTTAATACTATGGCGCATACACACTCAACAAACATAGCTTGCCTTTAGGCACCATATTTTCGTTTGTTATGTCTAAATACGAAGCAGTACACCGCACAGATGGAGCTCATTTGGGACAGGATACCATATTTGTGCCGGACTGGCTATTTACTGAAGTGTGCATCCCACCTCATTCAACACTCATACTAAATCATGTACACAACCTGTTTTTGCATATAACTAAAGACAAAACCCGATACACCACACAACGGCGCCGAGCTCGAATAAAACACTTTACGTGTATGTGTTGGAGAGATTCTGTAAGAATATGTGTGCCAGCCACATGCATACGCAACACCTTTACTTCCCTGCATAATTGTTCGTACCTTATGAGTACCGGACCGGTTCTGTACGGCCTGTCGTTTGCTTAAACTGAACGTTTCGTATTTATAGTTGAATCGGCCGAAGCGTAACGCAGATTCCACTTTCTGAGAGTACACGGACAACTCGGAGCCATAAAGTACTGTGCAATAGATGGGGATGGAAGTGAGATCCCCTTCAGCGGTCGAAAGATTCATTTAACCAATCTCAACGATGGTATCGATGTCACATTATGAACAGTATCAATATGGCTGCTCATGAATAAAAAAATATCACAATGGATTTATGCGTTACGAATGAGCATATATATATAGATATAGATTCACACACACACACACATATATATATATATATATACATACATATTATATATATATGCATATATATATATATATATATATATATGTATGCACACATACATACATAAAACGTACAAATATACATAAAACGTACAAACATACAAAAAACGTACATACATACATAAAAACGTACATACATGCATAC